GTCGCCCACTTCCCCGCCGCACCACCCCACCCCACCCGCCGGCCTCCTCCCTCGGGCGCGCAGCGCAGGCCATGCTGGCATCCACGACGCGCATGCTGCGTGCCAGCTGGCGTGACGGCTTCTGCCGCGATCTGTACGCCGACTTCAACAGCCTCACCCTGGCCATCACTCTGGAGGCGCTGTTTGGGGCGCGGATGGCGGCGGGGGAGGACGCCGCGGGGCGCGGCATCACGGGTGGGCGGGGCGGGGTTTGCAGGGCGGGGTGCTTGCTGGGGTTGGCGCCAAGGTGGCGCTGGTGTGGCGCCTAGGTGGCGCCATTCGCCACGCCCGCCGCCCTCCCCTCCGCCTGCCGCGCTCGGCCGCCGCACGCGCATCCCTCCAGCTGCCCCCTGCACACGCCGACACACATATGCACACACACAAACAGTAATTACAATTTCCTCCTCCCCCTCCCCACCGCACCACCCCACCCCAGACGCCATCCGCGAGGCCTTCCGCTTCTTCGCCGCGCGGGGCGCCTCCGCGCTGGCGCTGCCCGAGTGGCTACCCACCCCCGGCAACCTGCGCTTTGCCGCCGCGGTGGCGCGCCTGGATGCTGCGGTGCTGGGCCTGATCGCGCAGCGGCGCAGGTGCGGCGTGGCGCGTGGCGTGTGTGTGGTGTGGCGGCTGGTGTGCGTGCACGTGTGTGGCTGGTGTGCGTGCACGTGGGGTGTGTTGGCGGGGCTGCGGTGTGAGCATGTGTGGCGATGGCGGCACCAGGAAAGGCACTACACCCGGCTGGTGTTGGTGTGGTGTGCATCGTGGGGCGGCGGCGCAGCGGCGGCGCACGCCATGAGCGGAGGCTGGGCGGGTCGGGCTGTGGCGGTGCGCTGGGCAAGCCAGGAGCGTGCCCCTTGCCGCAACGTGCGCCTGGCTCGCTGCCGCCTGGGCGCGTGCAGGGAGCTGGCGGCGGCGCCGCGCCCGCCTGGCGACCTGCTGGACAGCCTGCTGCTGGCTGCTGACGAGGCGGGGCAGGGCATGGGGGACCGCGCGGCTCGGGACGAAGCCATGACGCTGCTGGTGGCAGGTGGGGTGCCGGGGGCTGGTGGGTGGCAGGCTGGGTGGGGGCAGGCTTGATGGTGGCAGGCTGGCCTGGGTGGTGGTGGCAGCGGCGTGGAACGTGTGGGTGTGAGTGTGCGTGGTGGTCGTGGCGGTGGGTTTGGGGCAGGGAGGGATGGCACTGAAGTCGCAGATGCTAGGGATGCACGCACTAGTGACGCCCAAAACTTGCATGCCACCCTGCGGCCCGCACCCGTGCAGGCCAGGAGACGTCTGCCATTGTGCTGGGCTGGGCCTGCGCCTACCTGGCGCACCACCCCGAGGCGCAGGCGGCGGCGGCGGCCGAGGTGGCGGCGCGGGTGGGCGCGCGGCCCCTGCAGGCGGCGGATGCCGGGCGGCTGCCGTGGGTGGAGGCTGTGGTGCTCGAGGCGATGAGGTGGGCGGCGTGCGCCTGCTGCTGGCGCTGGGTGTGGCGGTGTTTGGTGTTGGAAGTGGCGGTTGGCAGTTGATTGTTGGGAGGGACGTCTGGGCAGTTGCTGGATGCTGCACAGCGCTGGCCATGCCTGGGCAGCCTTGCGCCTTCTGCCGCCCCGCCTGCCTTCTGCGTCTCAACAGCCGCCTCCGCCGGCGCGACCCTCCCGCCGCAGGCTGTCGCCGCCTGCCTACCTGGTGGGGCGGTGCGCGGCGGAGGCCACCAACCTGGGAGGGTACCACCTGCCGCGAGGTGAGCACTGGCATCCTCTTCCATTGCGCCGGTACCACGCTGCTGCCTGGTGTGGGTGGCGGTGGTGGTGGTGGTGGAATGGGTGCATAACTGGTGTGCGAGCATGCTGCGCAGCCTGCATCCCGCCACTGCAGCAGAGTGTTTCGCCGCTGCAGGCCTTGCAGCAGCTTCCACCTGCATGCCCCCCCACCCTTGCCCCTCTCCCCCGCCCGCACCTGCAGGCACCACGGTGCTGGTCAGCCCCCACCTGCTGCACCGCGACCCGCAGCATTGGGGCCCCGACGCCGCCGCCTTCCGCCCAGAGCGCTGGCTGGAGCTGCAGCGGGCGCAGCTGGAGCAGGGGCAGCCGGGCACGCAGCAGGGCGTGGGCGGCTCCCAGCAGCCGCCGGCGGGCTGCCCCCACGCAGCGGCGGCCGGCAACGGCGGCAGCGGTGGGGGAGGAGGGGTCAGTGGTGGCGGCGAGCTGGGCGGCAGCGGCATGGCTTTCCTCACCGGCATGGGCCCCCACGGCGCCTACATCCCCTTTGGCGCCGGCCAGCGCAACTGCATCGGCACAGGCGAGGCCTTGCGTGGAGAGTGCTTTGCGCTGGCAGGCACCGCTCCCCACCTGAAGCCTGCTGTTGGCCTGGAGCCTCTCACCCACACAGACCAGCCGCTCCTGCCGCCGCTCGCCCTCCCCGCAGGCTTTGCTATGCTGGAGGCGGTACTGGTGGTGGCGTCCATACTGCAGCAGTACAGGCTGGAGCCGCTGCCGGGGGCGCCCTTCCCGGCCGCCAGGCCGCAGATCACGCTGCGTCCCGACAGCGTGCGCCTGCTGCTGCGCCGGCGCTAGCGTGCGCCGCATCGGGGTTTGTTGAACGTACGAACTGAAAACAAACGAATGGATCAATGCATCGCTCCCGTCTCCCTTCCCCTAATACTTACTACTGTGCTTACTACTTAGTCCATTGTATTAATATAGATCATTGTGAATGCATGGCACCCTCAAGGGCGGCAGCTGGCGCAAAGCCTATGTGCTGGCGGCGCACAGCCGCCAGATGTGTCATGCCACAAAATTTATCCAATCCAGCAAACGGGATTTGCACTGGCAGCTAGAGACGCGTGCGCCGCCAGTGCCCTCGCCATGTGCAGCGGCCCACTCAACTCTGCCGGCGATATGGATGGAGCAGGGGAGAAGATTAGAATAGGCGTGCTGGCTCTGCAGGGCAGTTTCCGGGAGCACATGGCGCTGCTGGAGAGGTGCGGCGTGGAGGCCATAGAAGTGCGGACCAAGGAGGAGCTGGGCAGCTGCGCGGGCCTCATCATCCCAGGCGCGCGCCGCGGGCCGCGCTGCCTGGTGCAGCTCCGCCGCCGCCGCTCTGCGCTGCCGCTGCCGCCGCTGCCGCCCATGTCCTGCCCGGTCAACGCGCCACGGGTGGAAGCCAGGCTGCCAGCCCATCCCGCGCCGTCACCCCGGCTGCAGGCGGGGAGAGCACCACCATGGCGCTGGTGGCGGAGCGGTGGGGGCTCATCCCCGAGCTGCGGCAGTTTGCGGCGCAGCAGCGGCCCATCTGGGGCACCTGCGCAGGGCTGATCTTCCTGGCGGACCGAGCCTCAGGTGGGCTGTCTCGCTGGCCGGCAAGGCGGACCGGAGGTGGAGGCGGGCGGAGCAGGCAGCCGTTGAGGGCGGGGCTTGCCCAGGAGCATGCCGCTGCTGTTTGGAGCTTGCGGGCCGCCTGCTGCTTTCGGGTTGGCCCCTCCCTCCCTCCAGCCAGCCAGCCAACCCCGCAAGCTGTGCCCCGCCATCTCGCCGCCCCCGCCGCAGGCATGAAGGAGGGCGGCCAGGCGCTGCTGGGCGGTCTGGACTGCACGGTGCAGCGCAACTTCTTCGGGGCGCAGATCAACAGCTTTGAGACACAGCTGCCCGCCCCCGCCTGCCTGCCGCGGTCCGCCGACCCTTCAGAGACCTTCCGCGCCCTCTTCATCCGCGCCCCCGCCATCACAGAGACCGGGCCGGGTGCGGCATGCTGTGCTGTGCCGTGCTGTGCTGAGCTGTGCTGTGCTGCGTCGTGCTGTGCTGCGTGGTGGCCGGTGGCCTGCGGCGCTCTGGGGCGACAGCCGCTTGCCCCAGCCGGCATGCCGCTGTTTTGCTGTGGTCGGCCGTTGTGTGCCTGCCTCGCTTGTGGCGCCTCATCCCTCGCGCCGTGGTGTCTGCCTCTACCCCTGTGGAGCGCAGGTGTGGAGGTCCTAGCAGAGTACTGCCTCAGCGAGGGGGAGCGCGCGCAGCAGCAGCGGGACAGCGTGGCGGTGGCGGTACGGTCGGGACCGCTCATGGCCACAGCTTTCCACCCGGAGCTCACGCAGGCAAGGCGATGCGGGGATGGGGCTGGCACAGTTGACTTGCCGGCGGGGTGGCAGGGCGGCACCTCGCGGGCTGGCAGATGCATGCCCAAGCTGGCACAGGTTGCTGCACCGTAGCACAACCAGCTCACTGTGCTGCTGCAGGACTGCCGCTGGCACGAGCTGTTTGTGAGCATGGTGAAGCAGCAGGCGGCGGACAAGGCGGCGGCGGCAGCAGCGCCCAAGCCTGGCCCCTTTTCGAAGCTGGGCCGCGCCCCCAACCGGCCAGCCGACCTGCCGGTGTACTAGCCTGGCCTCCCTGGGGCCAGCCGGCCGGGCCTACAACAGAGCAAGCGCCAGCCAAGGCACAGCTGGGGCCGCGTGATCATCTTGCTAACCACTGGCGTTGCCACCTGCCCCCGCCCCCGCGTGCGCATTGGCAAGCGGTTGCAGCCCGAGCCTTGGGGTGCCCCGCGGCTCTTCCTCTTGTGGCCGCAAACCGGTTGCATTCCGTTTGCGTGTGCTCATTTGCATGTTGGGGATACCCATGTTTCCATTAATGATGTGCAAAAACCTTAGTGGTGCCATAGTGGTGTCATGATGGCCCATTGTAATCATTGCGCCCCATAGTGGAGAGGTGGGGGGGGGGGGGGGGCGC